AATATGTCTAGTAGGGATATTTGGACTTTAATCTTTGATAGTTAAGTAATATAATCGCTTATGACGAAATCTCGTGTTTCTGGTGGTTGTATGGACATTTTAAAGCTGTTTTCAACGTTTTCCCGTGTTTGGAGAAGTCAATAAAAGTTTCCTTTTCTAAAGCGTTTTTGTTACGAGATTTTCGCGGTCACGTGTCCGCCCATGCAAAAGGAAAAATATCAGTTTTTTTACGGAATTTCACAACTAGCCAGTGTTTGGTTGTTTAACCCGTTATCTATGCTTCGATAAAACAACTGGTTTAGACTGTTACGTGACCCATATTTATCCCGATTTATTAAAAATAATATCAAATATTGCAATCAAAAATAATTTTAAGACGTAGTGGATGTTTAATTAGTGATGCATGAGTAGTTACTGGATAGGTATAGGTAGTCACCTACTTACGTTGCATCACGATCATTATCATATGTACAGAGCAATGTCAAGAGGACATTGAACTCAACACTTGCATCCTTGAACACTTTTTCTACTTATCTTTTGATAGATAATTTTGTTTTTACATTACACTGTTTAAATAAAGATTGGCGATGTTTTTCACGTGTAAGCTCATTCCGCGAACGAATGAGTAAGGCGCCATGTTTTTTTTTTGTTTAAAAATGGAACGGTTTTGAAATAGCCGTTGGTATGTTGGGAATTTTTTCAAATAATTTTCGGCTTTATTACAAGACTGTAATGTTTAGAATCCTTTATTGAATTTATCAGTTTTGTGTACATTGATCTGCTTTTGTTTGTACCTACAATTTCTTTGAATATTTGATGTGTGGTTGTTTTTAGGACAGATACTGACGACTTCGTATTTGTGACGTCATACTATATCTTGTAATGGTTTATCATAAGACTTGTAAGGAAAGTTGGCGTAGGTCAGGTATCGTGGCGCTATCGAAAGGATTAATGTTTTGAAAGATAATAATGTTTTTAGACATATTTTGTTCTTTTTAACTGAATTTATTAATGAGTTTCTTGCCCTATGGTGCTATACTTGATCTGATATTTAATTATATTTCGCAATATTGAGAAACTTTAATGGACGTAGATTTGCCTATTAGATATTTTGATGGATCCGGTTACAAACATGGTGTCTTCTGTAATATTTATCTCAAGTATAACTTTCGTGAGGCATACTCAATGGCGCGCAATGCTGCTCATGAATGAGCTCCTAGAGCGGCTTGAAACTAGTCGAGTTTCTTGTGAAACAGTTCAAACCCGTGCGCGACAAGATGAGACCTGAGGGCTTAGTACGAGTTTCTTTTTCGTTTAAAGTAATCGAAACGAGACGGCGTTCTCTGCTCTGATTGGTTGGTTCATCAGAGCCGGCCAATCACAGCGCCGAACGCGCACTCGTTACAGAAACTCGTACTAAGGCCTCTGAGCGAAATGACGTCACAGTAAAATCATTACGAAATAAATAATAATAATTGCCGATATGCATAATAATATTCAATTGTTAATTTTATAATAATTATCGACATTATCAGTATTATTGAAACCTGTTGAAATATTATCCCCTTTTGTTCATACAAAAGTAGTCTCTGGACATCGGAAATAAGGTCTATAATGTAGTTAGTGGAGAGCGGTCACCGGTGACCGGTTGGGAATTATGTGTGACAACTTTGTAACATATTCGGTTCCACGCAGGTTTCAAATTGTTGCGCACTGGTAATTATGTGAGTTAAACTGTCAAACACTAAGCGGTCACCGGTGACCGCAACCTATTGTTCTATAATTGTGTCTATAATGACGGTACTCGACGAGTTAACGGAAAATCATAATACATAGTCACACCGGACACAATTCATTATTTCAAAATAATATAAAACAGTCAATCATTAGATAAATGCACTTCGATATTATGTTTAATCTCAGTACATATGACCTGTTAAACTTTTTAAATTTATACCAAAATGGCCGCCTGATAACGGATACTTTGTATTTGGTATAGTTATACTATAAATAATAGCTATACTTAATAATTAATGAGAAATGCGCAATAGGGTAGATGACTATTTTTTATTTTAATGTCCGTCTGATAGATTATTTTAAAACATTAGACACGTATTTTTAATTTTTTTACAGAAAAGAATAGTTTCGAAGATATATTGATTTGAAATATCGCATGACGTCACTTTTGAGTACGATTTATACTCTAATATGACGTAGCCCACTACTAAAATTTGTTTCGTTTTAGCTAAGTATTGTTTTCTTATACCTACGACAAAATAAAAAAATACGTGTCTAATATTTTTTCATTGCCTGACGGACTAATTAGATTTTGAATTTTCATACCCTGTCAATGATGATAGGGTATGAAAATTCAAAATCTAATTATATAATAGGGATGACCCTATTGTGAATAGCAGCGATAGTGGCAAAAGTGATTTTTTAAAGTATAGTGGCAGCTAATACGGTTATCCTTATAATAAAAGGTTATTTTGTATGCATACTTAAATAAGCTTAGGTACCTACTTATATTTATAGACAAATAAAAATTTAAGAGCGTCCTAAAAGATCAGTGCATAGACAATATGGTCATCATTAACGACCAAAAACATCTTTAACAATAAAGACCTTGAAATAATATACATCAGTAAGAGTCTAATTGCAATATTGGAATTTCCAATCGTTAAAAACACCCGGAAAATCTGTGGACCTAAACATACCTATTACATATTTGGAATTGGTAAAAACTTACAATGATAAGGAAAATAAAGAAGGTACACGCGGCCACACATCAATCTATACAAAACCAGTTTATCCTGGCGTCGCGTCGCATCATCTTTCCGCACATTTAACGTTCAGTTTATACTGGTTATGTAAAGCTCGATGTTTAGCCGTGTGTACAATGCTGTTCGAAGAAATGTGAGTTTTTCCATACTAGAGAGGACCATGATCTTGACAGTCCACCAGTCCAGTACCTAAGATGGCATTACCATAATCTGCACAGCCGTCACATCACCCACAGATGGGGCCCAACAGGGCTGATGCCGATACGGAGCCGCGGAAAACTTAACGGGTTGCCGGGGCTCCGGCTCGAAGTGCAGGAATAGGAACGGGGTGGTTTTTAGTTAGTAATAGTCTGACACTCCCTCTCGCCTCACCCGGGCGGGAGAAGTCATTGGATGATTTTAAACCTCAAAAAAAAGCCGTCTTATCACATAATATACAATGAACTTGGCAGGCTGATTGGATATAGCATTTTAAAAAGTTTAGGTGTATCAGAGAACCCTAATAAATCTCCTGATCGATTTCAATTATGGTAGCAAGTCTAACTAGACTAGCCTACTACGCAGGAGATATTATCGTGTCCAAGTGTGTACGCAAACACAACTGCACTCTATTACCTCATTCTCTGAACCTGATGGGACGGCAGACCGTCACGACCGGAGATCAGGATCAGGACCAATGTCTTTACGTGCTTTCCAAGGCATGTGGGTACCGCCGTACTTCCTAATTCTGTTTCCAGGCTAGTAATGGTCATTTTAGTCAGAAAATGCCATTATCCCTTTGGCTATTCGTTGCACAACAGCGGGTCATTCAACCACTGCACTGAACGCCAATCGTGGAGAGAACCCTACTGTAATGGCATCTCACAGCCTTAATATTTAACAAAAAAAAAAAAAATCAACAGCACACCCTAGGTAATAAACATCATTAAATCAGTTAAAAACTTTTTACAAGACTCCTTTGTCCATTGGCAATCATTTCATGTTCCATTTTTGCGAAATCATCGTCCAATACTGTTCAAAGTTAAACAAACCTGACCTACCTCAACGAGACCTTGGAATCAACTATAATAGACGCTGATGATCTCAACTCGACCGCGTCATTGCAAATAAACATTAAGAAAAAAATATGTTGAACATAGAAAAAAAGTTTGTCAATTTCATGCCAAATGCATTGGGGATATGACACTTAAATGGTGTTGAAATTACGTGTGTGTTGTTGATATGTTTTTGAAATAATTGTGATGATTTTTTGGCCATTATACAATCAATTTTGGCTTTTACAATGCCATAAGAATGTTATGGCAGAGTCAAAGATATTAGTTATGTTGTTTTCTCAACAACTGTCCTTGCAATACGTATAATGCCGAATCGTAAAATCGGATCGTACTAGCTTTCCCCAAACAATACGAGTTATATCATAAAACTATTACTAAACATGTCAAAATCGATTAACCTAACTGAAAGATGCAAATCGAGTTAAGGCAAATTAAATAATACCCTGTCTCGTATGCTATGATAAATGGGTTGCGTGATCTAGGAGTCATTAAGAGGCTTTCAGAGCCAAAAGATGCGGTTACCACGAACTTCGAATAACTCAATTCACTACATACCTAGTACTATAGTCCTTAATTCAAATAGTTCAGTGAGACTTCAGCCGTTATTAATGTTTCTGAGAACCTAAAATCTACTTAACCTGGTGAAAACTGCTCCTGACGACTCACCTCTGATGTCAGTTCAAACTAAGCCATTTTAGACATCGTACACATCGGTGGGGGTGCGATGAATAGTAGAATGTAACAATGCGATTATAAAGTTGAAATTACATTTATGAACTACTACCAAAACGATGTCCCTGATTACGAATTTAGTAGTAATCGCTTTAATAAATCCTTACTGCCAGATAAAGGTTTATATCGATTTTCCCTGAAGTATTTAGCTGGCACTACTTACCATATTATTTACAACCTTATTCTTAAAAATATTCTTAAAAATCTTTCAACGAACAGCTAAGTCGTAATCGCCGTCGAACTTGTACCTAAGCTATTTAGCAGGCCAATATTCAACATTGAGCAAGATCCTTTATACCAGTCCAAACCATATTCCAAACAAAGATAGATAGAAACTCTTTATTGTACAACAGTTAGGTTCCAGAAAATTAAAAAAAAATCTTCTTGTCTGTGCTCCAGAACATGCTTAGAACATTTTCTCTTGTTACAGGTGCAACTGATGTCCGCGGTGAGTGGCGAGCCGATGCTGCGCCGTGTGAAGCAGGAGACAGAGCCACCGCCACATTACTCGCCACCAGAACCCCAGCCACCTCATCCACAGCCGCTGCACCCTCGCACTATGCCCATGATGCAGCCAGAGGTAGGTTTCTGATCCTTTTGTGTGACTAAAATGTTCTTGATTATCGTAATCATTGAGCGATGACAGTGTCCACTGCTGGATAGACCTTCTGTTGTGGGTGTTTTATCTTAGTCTTTACACTACCAAATGATTTATAAAGCTAAGTAATAGATAGGATAAGTCACGAGGAGTGACAGCGCTGAAATTTAATTTGAGGCTGTAGCTTTTGATTAGACCATCAAATCTAGATAGAGGGCAGAAAATAAACACATAATTCTGCTTTGACTCGTTCCTTGCATAAGAATAATCCAATTTGATAACAATGCCACAGAAATTAAGATACAATATGCCATAAAGTTTTGTCACTGCTTCGTTTTAAATTTAAAACATTGTGTAATTGCATCACGATGTAAATTACATTTAAAGGTGCACGTCCCCTACTGACTTCGAACATATTTAGTAGAGGCCATTCACACTAAAATATGAACGATTTTCTTACACTCATGCGTCATAAACATGAGTCAGAGAGAAAAAAATCGCATCCTTGTCTCTCTCAAAGTTACTTAGATCAAATTTTAGGGTCACTGGGCAGCTACCATTAACCTTCTAAATCGATCTTAGACTTTAGACCATTGTCAATAAAGTGGAGTATCCAATATTTGTCTAAAGGAGTTTAAAAACCTTTTCAAACAAATTTCTTTTCGCCAAAGTAACGTTCGTGGGAGTTAGGTACATATTTTTATCTAGACCACGATGGCGTCGTAGGCTAGACATTAAATAACTGTATCGATCTAGTCTATTTCTGATCACAAGAAGTTGTGTTGGTCCCTAATTGGATTTCAAAAAGCGATGTTTCTTTGATACTTTGGTATATTATTTCGCGAGTTAGTCCAGATATACTTATAGAAAATGTTTTCTTGAAGGCAGGTTTTGATTACAGCAAATAATTTTTCAATTCTATAATTATTGTCCATGTTTTGATTACAATGATGGACATTTTGATCGACTCGGATTTTTATTAGGGTTGTACCTCAAGAATCAAATGGATTTCATTTTAACTTTGTCATTTCCCCAATCCCATTATTGAAGCGTGTAATTGCAAATTTAATTGAAATAAAAGAAAATCGTGATTAAAAATACAGGTATGACAAGTCCTTGAAACAAAAATCACGATCATTATGAATAATTGAAAAAAAATTGGTCGCGCTTCGTCGGTCAAAAAATGGTCCCTTCGTTTTTCTTGCAACACTCGTTAATCATTGCGTCCGCTGGTTTTTTGGTAGCACTTTATTTAAACGATTTGAGAAATTAATAATAATGCGCATTACGAAATTAGTCGGCCAGATTGAAGATTAAATTATTATTATTACACTGTTTTAATCGACGTGGTGTTGCGTGCAGTGTTGCAATTTTTTAAAAATATATTCATCTCTTTTAAAAAAATATAAAACAGTTAATTTTGAAAATAACTTATTTATAAATAGTGGTTACCCTTCCAACAGTTGGAATTGGAGAGTAAGGAGGACGTCAAATTCTGCGTTTCTCCCGGAGACGGAACTATTGTGGGCAACACAAGCCCTGAACAGCAGCACTGTTCCTCAACCACTGCTGCTGCAGCCAGTGGAGCAAGGGATGATGAGGCACCAAGGAGGGTGTGCCTCGTCTGCGGAGACACTGCCTCAGGGTTCCACTACGGAGTTGCCAGCTGTGAGGCCTGCAAAGCGTTTTTCAAGAGGACTATTCAGGTGAGTCGGAAGGTGATAAAATTTTTTGATACTTTTATTCATTTCAATCAAGCAATCATATCAAGCTTCTTGGACTACTACTAAGCTCGGCTTGGGGTCACCGCATTCAACAAATTCATCTATCATATATTTATCTACAGACAAGGAGTACATTATGGCTGCGTTCGTGCTGGCTTTCATCCTATGAGATTTTCTACTTAATTTACAAGGCGTTTGGGTTTAAAATTGACTATTGTGTGTTAGGATTGCCTGCTAAAATATGATAATCAAGATACCTAAAACACCTGAGATTTCATGAGATTAAGATTTAGCTGTTTTTCACAAAAATACTCGAAAATATTGTTCGACTGCTATTAAAGTTGGACTGAAGCCAGTTTCTAAGATATTTTATCTATGCTTTCTAAATAATAGACAGTGTCCAAACACTTGGACAGCTATATTTTTTAAATAAATCATGACTTATTATAAGAAATTTTATCCAAAAATGTTGATCCGTTTAGGCGAAGTTAAAGTATGCAAACGTTCATACTAAGATGAATAAATTAATTTTGTCAAAATTTCCGATTAAAGGTATGTTTCATAAATGGTTTATGCACAAATATTTGACAACATAACTCGCCTAGTTTCAAGCCATGCTGTGGCTCATATAACTTTAAGTCTAAGTGGAATGGTATAAGGAATAGTTTAACATATTTTCCTTAAAAAAGATATGTTTCAGTTAAGCTAACAACTTAATCAGACATTATAAATTGGGCTCTTAATACGATGGAATACCACAAGACATTTCTATTAGGTTCTTAGTAGAATTATTGAATCGAATGTTTATTTAAAACTAAGTTACTCCAGTCGGCTGGAGTTTCAAGTAAACACGCTGATCTTCTAACTCTCTAGGATTTACGATTAATTCGTAACTTATATTAGGTTCACGTTGTTTTTCTTGGGGTTTTCCAAATACAATTTGGAATTTGGAGGCTTCTTTTAACTCTGTTATTTGAAACAATAATTTTTGTCTATGTTTGTCATGGATGTACCTACGGGGTTGATGTATTTATTAGCTAGGTAACCAGATTCCGATTTTAACCCATTAGACATCTTGAGAAAAGAAATGGCTTCTTTAATTAAAAAATCTTAGTTATTATGTTTTTCGGTGTACTCGCGTGATTATTTGACGAGGAACACGACTAGTTTCAAGCCACGCTAGAGGCTCATATTCATTATCGCGGCCACTGTCGTGCTGCTACAAATAACAGGGAAGATGACACATTTTTATTTTAATGTCCGTCTGGTAGATTATTTTTAAATATTACACACGTATTTTTTTACAGAAACGAATACTTTAGACGATATATAGATTTGAAATGTCGCGTGACGTCACTTCTATGTACATTTTATACGTAGAATTGACTTAGCCCCCACTCCTATACATTGATTCGGTATATCTAAGTATCATTTTATTATACAACAAAATAAAAAAATACGTGTCTAATATTTTTACAATACCTAACTAACGGACTAATTAGATTTTAAATTTTCATACCCCGTCATCATCCCTATTACGTGAGTAAACTCGCAACAGAAGTAACAACACCAACGCAAGCGCCAACGCTAGCCAGTAGCCTGCGGGACATCGCCGCGACCGCACACGCTGAGCCACAGAGGGGCTCTATCACATGAGGAAAGAGCCCCTCTGTGGCTCGAAACTAGTAGAGCTTTTCTCAGTATATTTAAAAGTAACCCGCGACTATTAGTTAACTACGTAAGTAAGCCAAAAAGTATGTCGCGGAGAACCTAACGGGTAACTGGGGTTCCGACTCGACGTGCAGGAGCGGAACGGGGTGGTTTTTAGTCAGTAAGAGTCTGACACTCCCTCCCGCCTCACCCAGGCGGGAGCAGTCATTCGATGATTATCCACCGTTAAAAAAAAATCCAAAAAGTATAATATTTAATTTGGTAAGTCTCCCGAAAATTGAAATATAAAAAATATCCCGTAGTCAATGGCAAAGCACAGAATTAGTTTTATGCGGTGTTTGTAAACCGACTCACTGTCTATAACAGTGCTACCAAAAATATCATAACTAATAATTAAAAGCAACATAGTGGGTTAAGGGACGTCCATAAATTACGTGAGATGTTACAGAAAATTAAAAAAAAAACACCTCACGTAATTTATGGACGCCCCCTTATTTTGTCATGCTAATAATAAAATGTTATGTGTATGTATTTAAGATTCTAATATGATTCACTTAGTAATACGTAGCGAAGTAGATAATATCGGTACATGTATGTAAACGAGTCTTCATCGGCATTGCCCACATATTTCACTCGGCGTAAATTACGCGGGTACTTTAAACAGATTCCTGCCAAATGTCACGGTTGCCAGCTAAAGAATTTTAAAGTTTTCCACTCTCTTTCTAAGGAAAATAATTCGTAGAATTTAATGATTTTCCTGTGTATTGTAAGGAAATGGTCTTAAAAATGTATCAACACGCTTTTAATTTCCTGAACAATGTGACATGTAATATTCACTTTTTGTTATAATTAGAGATGCAACGAATAGTTGTTGGGCCGGATACCGGATACCGGATATTCGGTTTGACCACCAGCCGAATATTCGGTATCCGGCTGCCGAATATTCGGCCGGCATAAAATTATTTAAAATAATAAAAAGATTCAATTACAACTGTGTCTTTATTTAGGTTTCATTTATAAAATCTACCATGTTTACTATCCGGATAAGCCGGATACCGAACAGTAACCGAATATTCGGTGCATAATTGTTTATTTTATATATTTCACAGAACTTCATTTTCATCGCTTACAACATTATTATTAGTATTATTTCATTTATATTAAATCTTGTAAAAATATGTATCGTTTTAATAGACCAACTGTATTGAATAAAGAAATTCTGGTAAAAAAATTAAAATTACTAATCTTAATCAATTCTACAATACCAGGGCAACATAGAATACACGTGTCCTGCGTCAAATGAGTGTGAGATCAACAAGAGGCGGCGAAAGGCGTGCCAAGCATGTCGGTTCCGCAAGTGTTTGCGCACGGGCATGCTGCGGGAGGGGGTGAGGCTCGACCGCGTGAGGGGGGGACGGCAGAAGTACAGGAGGGCACCCGACGCACCCGCCCTAGCTCAGCCCAGGCCACAACTTGATGATATTAAGGTAGGTTCTGAACCCTTGGTCTTCTCTTCTGGCTGGGTAGGGCCTACATTTGTTGTAGTGAACTGATTCGTTCCTAGTACATTGATCTTTTAAAGAATAATAAAGACATACAAACAAAATATGATAGAAACTACAATTTCTCACAAAATTTCCAAATTGTAATTTTCCATACAATTTTTTTTCAGGTTCTAGAAGCCCTGAATTCATACGAGCCGGAGTTGCTGACATGCTCAGCGGTTCCAGCGACTGTCACGGACCCCACAGCCAAGACCCTGGCGATGTTAGCAGACTTATATGACAAGGAACTGGTCGGAGTCATCGGATGGGCCAAGCAGATCCCTGGGTTCACTGAACTACAACTTAATGATCAGGTAATAACTCCAAGAATATTAATAACCAGCTGATCTAGAAGTAGTGGGGAGCAGCCTATGTTCAGCGGTGGACGTCTTGTAGTAGATGTGATAATGAGATAAATTAATTATTGGACGAGGTATCTCGACTAGTTTCGAGCCACGACTGGGACCCATAGATGGCTATCACCGCGTCATGAACAGTTACGTAATTAAGTAGCAAATAATTAATTGAATGTAACTCACGATAGTTATAACATAAACATTAATATAGAAAGTAGAAACAGTAACTTTATGATCTCAAAATTTATTAACCGACTTCTAAAGGAAAAAAAAGAAGAGGTTCTTAATTTGACCTGTATGTTTGAGTGCGATTACCTCACGATTGGCTAAACTGATTTTGATCCGGTTTTCAGAAATCTAGGAAAAGGTTTTAGTATATTAATTAACCAACTTCAATAAAAGTGGAGGTTGAAGTCGGCTTTTTAACGTATATAGTTTATAAAAAAATATTCGATCCAATACCTTTTTAGATCCTATATTTTAGTTTTTCCAAATCATTTTCGGTTCGGTAGTGAGAACCGAATTGAGACTGTTTTCCATGGAGCGACTGTCATCTGCGCTTTACACCAAGGATAATATTTATAACACATTCTAGGTTTTTTATCTGTTAACAGAAGCTTTTGCGCTTCTGGACATTAAACTTCAAACAAATATACTTCATACATATAACATATCACGCTAGTCTAATGCTAATGTCTGGAAAGATCGAACAAAGCGAGACCATATATCTTCTCACATTAACAGCCTATAAATGTCAGCACTGATGAGCAAAGCCTCTTTTCACACAGATAATATTTCAGTATTAATCACCACGGTTGCTCATTGCGAGTTGGCGATTTTAAACTTTTTATTGGAATAATATTATTAGAAATAAAATTATCAGCCCAGGTTTCCTGACGATGTTCAGTTTGTCAGTAAGAAACTAGGTACTGTAAAGTAAAAATTAATGCTTAAAAATGACGAGTAATTCCGACATTGAAAAAAGAATTGAAATACACTTTTTTTTCTTGTAAATGGTTTATTTTTCATATTCAAATAATTTATTTACGGTTTTTTCGTCAAATAACGTTGGCCTGGCTATCCATAACCAGTATAACCTGACCGATGAACGTGCTGAAAGATCATATAAAACGAGACTATGATAAATTGGTTTTGTACGGCTTGACATGATGTGTATACAATATTGAACTAAAACATTCAGCCTAACTCACACAGGCATGAAAACCTTGACTGCAACTCACACATTGACACATGAGTTCACAGACGCACACTACAACACGTCAGACAATAGACTGGGATATCACACACACATACAAAAGGTCCACAGATAACGAAAAAACTCACTTCCACATGTTACGAATTAATAAATCCTTCCAAATGTTATAAATGTAAAGCGTTTGTTTGTCTTTATATCACTTATTCGTTAAAGACTACTACGACTGTAGTAATATCTCCTATAAACTAATGGAACATTTTAGTATAATAAAACTGTTTGCCCATTTTTTAGAATTACATTTTTTTGAACCATGCCACTAACCTCAAAGACTTATTCATTCATCCTTTGAGATACTTCCCAAATTACATCACTTTCCCTCTATATCAAATTGCATAATTTTACAAACATATAAAACGAGCAAACCCACAAAACAAAAGCTAGTCAACATATAAATTACTAAACTCAAGGTTCCAGTCCAGACTAAACTTATTATAGTTTTTCTAATCAAGATGATCAACTTGTAATTATTATACTGATTTAAATAATAAGACTGTCTCGTTGGCAGAGTGATCACAAGTGCGACTGTCAGCAAGGGGTATCGGGTTCGATTCCTGGATCGGGCAAAGTACTACTGGAATTATAAAAAAATCTTACTAATAGCACGGAGTCTGCAATTATGCCCGGTATATGGCAATAGGCTCACCCCCTATCACATGGCAGCATGGCACTCATAACATAAATAGTGAAAAGTGAGTGTTACATTGTACAGTGGCATTAAGTGCCGTAATGTGCACCTATGTCTACCCCTTGTCGCGGAGAACCTAACGGGTTACCGGGGCTCCGGCTCGAAGTGCAAGAGAAGGAACGGGGAGGCTTTTAGTCAGTAAGAGTCTGACACTCCCTCTCGCATCACCCAGGCGAGAACCGATGATTCGTCAATCGATGATTTTCCCCCTTAAAAAAAATGCCTACCCCTTCGTAGATAAAAGGCGTAATGTTTAAATAATAAGAATAATTATATTCCTAATTCTGAGCGCTTTATTCGTGTGTACGGGACTTTATTGCTGTTTGTTTGGTGTGTCGAAGGTCGAGGTTCGTTAACGGTGTCTATCTATCCGTCTATACCTCTATTTTCACGGCCAATGTTTTATTTTATGTTTTTTATATTGGAACAACAGTCTGTGTTAGCGTGTTTTGTAGGGGGTAGGTTGGAATATGAATGTAATGCCCGAATACTGAAACGCTTCTCAATTTTAATTCACGCAAGTTAAAAAAAAGGAAAGAATAAAAAAACTACTTATTTTTAATTTTTCTAAAAGTACTATCCAAAGTAAAATTGATAATTTTGAAAAAAAAAACCGCTCTATTATTTATCGGTTGAATAGAATTACAGTCAGACAGTGACGTAATGTTAATGTAACTGTACGGTGCGCATATAATAACTAGTTTTGGCCTTAGACTTGACATGTTTAAGGCCGTCTGCAGTCTGTCTGATTTTTTATATATATCTAACTGTTCATATATATATAGGTATACTTATATATCTATAATTAGTCAGTTTTCAAATTAATTTTTAAAAGTTGTGTTTATACAATAAACTTGATGGCCTTGGTTTAGTTGTAGTGTGTGTGACTGATTCACTAAGTAGTGGATTCGATTTCCTTGTCGGATAAAAGTACCGTTAATTTTTTGTGTGCTCGTAATACTGATTTAGGTTGCGTTGTTTTTATATTTTCTCTAATTTTAGCTGATTGTATTTTCCTGTTTTTTTTTTCAAAGACGTTGATGTAAAGTTTATTTTGATTTATCAATACATAGTATAAAACAAAGTCTAAGTTAAAGTTTAAAACTACGCAACGGATTTTGATGCGGTTTTTTTGATTCTTAAGGAAGGTTTGTATGTATAATACATGCATATTGCACCCGTGCGAAGCCGGGGCGGGTCGCTAGTAGAGAATAAACTCCAACACTTTGAAGTACAAAATCACATACATAAGATACAGTGGTCAGCACAAACTGTCAAACACCAAGCGGTCGCCGGTAACCGCAACCTATTGTTCTACCTATAATTGTGTCTATAATGACGGTACTCAACGAGTTAACCTACTCTAATGTGTAAATTTTTGTCATTGAATTTCCAATTTTACATCTAAACGATAGGGGTGAAAATATAGCATCATAACATCACACCTTTTATCCCCGAAGGGGTAGGCAGAGGTGTACATTATGCCATTGTACAATGTCACACTCACTTTTCACAATTTTATGTTATGAGTCCCATGTAATACGGGGTGAGCCTATGCCATATACCGACCACAATTCCAGACTCCGTGCCTACTGAGAATTTTTAAAATCCCATTAATACTTGGCCCGACCCGGGAATCGAAACCTTGCCGCAGTCTCAGTTGCGACTCGACCAACGAGGCAGTCGGGGTGGTGAGATGAGAGGTGAAAATCTAATTAACACATTTGACACAAAAGAGTAATTTGACCTGCTACCTACTGTACAAAAGCAACTCGTTAGGTACAGAAGGAAACATAATCTTGATATCTTATCTTACACTATAATATATAAAGCTAAAGAGTTCCTTTGTTTGTTCGAACGCGCTTATCTCAGGATCGACTGGTCCAATTTGAAAAATTCTTTTTGTGTTGCATAGTCCATTTATCGAGGAAGGCTATAGGTTATAAAACTTCACGCTCCGACCAATAGGCGCCGAGCAGAGCGGATAAAACGCGGAAGTATTTAGTACATAATATAAGTATTAGGGCCGATTTTTCAATGCTCAGTTAAATTTTATCAGACGAATAATTTTGAACATTTTTCGATTCTTCCATACCAAAACCTTTCAACTGACAATTTTATTCTACAGTTAAGAAGTACCCTTTGAGTACCGTCATTATAGACACAATTAAAGAACAATAGGTTGCGGTCACCGATGTCCTCGCAGTGTTTGACAGTTTAACTAATGATTGAAAAATCAGCCCTTTAGTCTAGGTACTAATCTAATCTCATCGGTCTATTTCATTTTTTTAGTACTAAATAGTTAAATACCATTTTTCTCCACAGATGCGTCTCCTCCAAAGCACATGGGCGGAGATGTTGTCCCTGATGTTAGCATACCGGTCTATGTCCGGCGGCAGTCCACTGCGGCTTCGCTTCGCCACAGACCTCGCTCTCGATGAGCAGCAGGCCAGGGAGATAGGGGCACATGATTTGTTTACACAGGTACGTTTTACATTCATTTATTATATTCATCATAGTCAACACCTAGAAGACGTCCACTGCTGGACGTAGGCCACCCTAGACTAAGATAGTCTACCGCCGAACGATAGCTCGCAATGTATGAATCGTGTGTGAAACTTTATCTAGGATTCGATTTCCGGGTTAGTTATATGTATGTAATGTGTTTTAATTATTTTGTACATATGATGTAAGAATTAATATAATATCTATCTATTTCTATCTAACCTTTAGGATAATAAAAGGCTTAATGAATAATTGAATAAAAATAATAAATGATAACACCACTTAACCTATGGAGTTTCTTGCTTATTCTTCTCCATAGGAATCAACACCTTGGAATGAACAAATAGCTTCACTTGACGTTCAAAAGTGTCTTCCTGGTCTAATTTAACAATTTGAATTTGAAATGAAATATATAAACTAAATAACACTAAATAACAACTATGCCTAAAATATATGCTAATATATTATATTTTTTAATTTATTTCGAATTTTCAGACTGTCTAAAAATAGATATAAGGTTATTCTTAAAATTTCGATACCTGAATATCAAAATTTTAGATTTTTATTAAGTTTTTTTTTGCTTATTACGGACGATTAAGTTTTGACAATGGAAGTGTTGCAATTAATTATTGTTTTAGTTAGCAATAATTCGTCAGTTTGACGTCAATTGATGTAATACGTTTTGTTGTAGACGTGTATTACAGAATTATTTTAGTATTTTATTTTTGT